TCTGTCATGAGCCTTTCAAATCTAATGATAGTGCTGCAATTCTGCTGGACTTAGAAAATATAACAATGCCATATTATAAGCACTATATTGCAAGCTTTTCTTTTGGTTAATTAATAGAAGCGTATTAGGCTGATAATGTATGTAAAGTTTAGGCTTTCAGAAATAAAGTGTACATATTTTTACATTTTTATTTTGTGATACTGACACTGGTGACAAGAATTATGAAATTTCTATGGTATCAAACATTTTGATATCATGAAGACCTTATTTAAAGCAAAAATAACTAACTATATTGTGATATATATCGTTACTGTGTAATAAAATTACTCATGTCGTGATATAAGGTCATATCGCCTACCCCTAAACTGTAAAATAAATAAATAGGAGTATTGAAGATAAACATACTGCTACTATTACTACTACTAATTTAAAAAAAATGTTACAGTACAAATTAGTCTTAATTTCTTTATTTTAAAAGGTTAAACCACCAAGTTTATACTACAGTGAACACAGATTGTGCATAACCCTGCAGAGAGCCCTTAAAACTTCTGTTTTGTTGACAACAGTTGGTTTATAAGCACTTCAAGTTATCATTACAAGTTTAAGACAGTTGGAGCATTTTGTGTTCCCAAATACACGTTTTAAGTGACCCAAGCTCAGAGTAGCATTTACTGCAAACTGAGCTGCTCAGAGTCACTCAAAAAACTGGATCATGAGCCGTTTGTGAGTAGAAGAATGCAGTGGTGTGCATATATTTAATTAACTCGCACTAAGCCATATCGCGATTTCGGTTTTAATTCAACCACTTGTGCAGCCCGACATACTAACTTTCTTGACTGTATCTTCACAGTATCTATGTAAACTCACCAGGCAGGACACATTTCCACAGGCCGTATGTTTTCCCTACAGCTGTCTGCCACAGACGCAGAGTGCCATCCTCTGAGCCACTGGCATACAGCTCTCCATCAGGGCTAAACCGCAAACAGTGTATGGGCCCGAAATGACCCTTATATGACTCTGAAAGAGAGACAAACTTAATGTCAAGCATGAAGAAATAAGTATATATTCATGAGCCAGTCTATAATAATAATAATAATAATAATAATAATAAGCAGCTTTGTTTTTTCATAATTTAGTTAATTACATTAACTCAGGAACTATATTCCTACCCATTTCCTCTCTGGTGGTGTAGTCATATTTATAAAGCTTGAAATCATCTCCTCCAGCTACAAAGAAGTCTTTCTCAGGATGCAGTGAGGCGGAGTGAATGGAAGCAGGGGCATCAACAGTCTTAATCAGATCCAAACTGAATAAAACAGAAACCATCTGACATTAAGTTCTCAATACATTTTAAGGGCATGTTTTTGTCCTAATTAGCCCTTAAGGTAATATTTGCATGATTTGACAGATTGTAGCCATCTACCTGTGGGCTTTGTAGAAAGCAATGGTCCTCCCGTATGTGATAACGAGGATCTCCCCATCAGGAATGTACTCCATGCTGCTGACAGAGGCATCAAACGACAGTGTCTTCACTGCCTCCTTTGTGTTCTTGTCCCAAAGTCTACACAAGACAGACAACACGCACTCAGAATCAGACATACATACATAAACCGACATATATAGACATACTGTAAAATATCTTACTGCAAAAAAGCAAAGTATCAACTGTAAAAAAACTTCATCCATTACCATTTTGGCCACTTACCGGATAGTTTTGTCCTCAGCAGCTGAGAGAATCTGTTGGTCATTGTTACACCACAGAGCTTTCTTTATGGCAGTGGTGTGGCCTGCAATCTCCTGGGGTTCTGCATTACAAATGCCATTTAGCTGAACATGTCATTTTATCTTTAAGCAATTATGACTAGGAATTGGGATTCTGCAAATCAAAACAAATGAAAAAAAGTCACTTTACATACCTGCTTCAGGTTTGCTGAGATCATAGATGCGCAGTACTTTATCATTCCCTCCAGTCAGGAGACAGTTACTGTCCTGTTGATTTAACATATGCAGATAAAATCTCTTCATTTTAAAAAAATGACTCCGCCCAATTAACAGTGTGTTGGAAAACATGAAATGAAGTGACATCACTGAAATGACATTATTAATGCTGTGAACATATGGTAGTTTCATACATAGTTTGGATTATAGAGATAGAGAAAATAAATCTTCATATTGTTCAGCCTTATAGCTCAACATTTTTGTATTCGAAAAGACTTGAAAGGGTACTGTTTTCATTACTTTATTCTAGTATATTTAAAATATTTAATGCAAGAAGTAAACTAATAAATAAATACTATATTTAAAAATAATACCTGTGTGAAGTTCACAGATTTCACAATGTGCTTGTGCGCCAGTGTGAGGACCTCATCTCCAGTGATAGCGTCCCATACCTTTCTGTCAGATTCAAATAAATACTAAAGGTAAAATAACGTTTCACCAATATCATTTTTTTGCTATTGCTTGTACTTACGCTGTAAAATCTGCTGCGGCCGTAGCTGCTTTTGTAGCTTCTTTATTTAAGGTGGCACCCCAGACAGCACCCTTGTGACCCAAGAACGTCCCGATCCAGTCCCCTGTGTCTCCCTGGCGCAACATAGGTTTGCCATCTGCAATTTTGGATTGCCAAAACAGACTTTCAGATGTATTTTACAAACAATTAATCTACAGACAGTCACTTACTTTAAACAAATTGTTAAACAACATGCTCAATGCCTAGCAAGAAGACTAGGTGTACTGTCAGGGGTTGGTTTTAAGATTCAAGAACACACCTACCTTTACAAGCGCTAATGAGGAAATATCCATAAGGAGTTATTCCACTGAACGCCAGATCCACAACAGGTCTGGTGTGACCAGAACAGGTGAGAGGAGTCTGTCTCATAGCCATACTCACTGGAGACCTAAAAAAAAAATGACAGGGCACATTTGGAATTTTACTCAAAAACAGCTACCCGTGTATGTCTAAAAACAAGGTATTTAACAGGACAGAGCAGATGTGCTGGCTAACAGGCTTGGCTAGCCAGAAAATCAATCATTACCTTAAAAAGACAGCAAAACAACGACACACACCAGTACTTTGTGGCCAAATTACGTATCGGGGAGGACTGTGGAGCTCAGAGCTGCACTCCCAGCTACAGTGCTGTGCCACCAGCTACACGAGGTGTGTGTGAGTGTGTAAGCTATACTCGAGCCCTCGCTAACGCTACAGGAGCATAATGGAAGCACTAGTGTGAAAACCGGCCATCATTTCCGGCCCGCGACGCCACGGGATTGGTCAGAATCGTGTCACGTGGAGCGCTATGTAGTCCTTTCTCTAACATTAAGTACATATAACATGTTTGCTAACACGTATTGTAAAATGTTTATTGTGTAACATAAAAAAGAAGAAAAGCCTATAAGGAAAGCTTTTAACCGTGTATATGAGAACATTTGTTCAGTATTATGAGGTACGAGCTCAAAATGACGAGAACGTTATTATGAGCCCGTACGGCATTATAAAGAGAAAGTTTTTCAGTATTATTAAATTATTATGCTATTATGGCGACTATGAATCACATTTTAACCAAAAGATTTACTTTCAATCTTTCAAGTAAACTTTTTGAGCCACGGAGCGCCCCCCGTAGGTAAGTAATTCCTGTACAGGATCAAATTAGAACAATTTTCTTTTGAATACAGTGGTCACGACATGTAATACACATAAACAGGTTGCGGAGGGAAATGTTTTACATACAGACAACAATACAGAAACAGTAATACACAAATACCAACAAATAAAAATGGTAAACAATGGCAACAAAAGAAAAAATTAAACAACTAAATAAGAAAAAAGGGGGTGTTTAATCCCACTGGAGAAGAAGAAAAAAACAATTTGAGACTTACATGGCATTAAAGATAGGAAAAGAGTTACAAACAGACACTCTTTTTAAAGACAAATGGATCAATTAAAGGTATAGCTCAAATTCTTTCATGAAAACAAAAAAGAGAGGTCTGGAGTTTGAGTATGTGCATCTATGAATGTGGAATTTTGCACTTCATCAATCTGTTAACATCCAGTGATGCTGACACAACTGACCTGTATTCTGTGATCTCATGATAATGCAGGGTCATTATGGGACACGTACCTGTTTTAAAGGCAGGGGAGAAATTTCTGGAAAGACTCACAGAACATGCTGGATGGATAGATAGATAAATATAATGATTGATAAAGTATTATTAACCTGACAAATACATGTGCGTCTATTAACCAATGGGTCCGTACATATTTCTATGGTTTATTTATAAGACAAAGAAATGAAACGTTTGTTACATTTATTTAAAGGTTACGTCAATCTGAAACTGTAATGCTTGTGATTGCCATGAATCACAGGTTGCTACACATCTTACATCATTTTAGCTCTCTGAAAATCTTGCTAAAGGCCATATTCAAGATGAACATCGGCAGTGAGCACACATTTTCATGCCTGGAAAACAGAAAAGCAAACACGAAAGCCTCTCTACCTGAGTTTATTCTTAGTGACACAGTAACGCTGAAATCTGTAGATGTAAAGCAGTGTGAGTCATATAGTTCCAGCATGCACCGCGACAGTCTCTGAACGCACAGGGTAGGATCACCTGATAGCGCTGAGAAGTCGAGTCACTTTAGCGAATCGGTTCGTTCGCATTGTTCACTCGAATGAACCGGTTCAAAAACCAATTCACTGATTTCTATTAATCATCGCTTAAGTTAAATATTTCTTTAAATACTTCTGTTTATTTTTTACATTAGTAGACAATGTAAATTTGTTCAGCTCTGTCACCCTGAACACACCCACTTTTGATTCAAAATAAACTAAAAGTAATTTAGTTGTTTTGGTTACACTGAGTTTGGTGATCAGTCTTTTTTTAATATACATGTAAATATGAGGTTTCTCTTCAGCGAAAAAAAGGAACTGGTGGCATGTGATGCTGATCTCAATAATGAGTTTTTTAATGAACATCACTAAAGGTTAACCTCAAACCATCTGACCGAGCTGAAACCGATGACCTCTCCGCTTGTTTTCTTCCTCTTTCTGCAGGCTTTCACCGACGGTATCACAAACAAGCTGATTGGCTGTTACGTCGGCGGGTCCATGCAGGACGTGGTCCTGGTTCGGGTCTATGGGAACAAGACAGAACTGTTTGTGGACCGTGAGTTCGAAGTGAAGAGCTTCCGTGTCCTGCAGGCTCACCGATGTGCTCCACGCCTCTACTGCACCTTCAACAATGGCCTGTGCTATGAGTACCTGCAGGGAGTGGCCCTGGAGCCCGAGCACATCCGCAGCCCTGCTAACTTCAGGTTAGAAACTGCGTGTTCTACTGGGATGATCACCCAATCATCCTTTATAATACTGAGCTAATTGATTCAGGACGGCATGACGGGGATGGAGATATCGGTGTTGACCTCCAACTAGCCAGACACTTGTCACATAACCCCAAAACTTTCCCAGTAATCCCTTAAGACATGAATGACGCACTGCACTCTCTCTCTCGCACTCTGACCCAGGCCTCCCGCCAATACTAGTCAGGTCTCAGACAGCTGTGAAAGAACAAGGCTACTGTGTCAGCAGGGCGATGACTAAAGTGTTGGCGTTTAAATGCACAACCGTTCAAAAGTAAAAAAAATAATACTTTTATTCAGCAACGCTGGATTAAATTGAGCAAAATTGACAGCAAAGACATTTATAATGTTACAAAGCTTTTTATTTCAAATAAATTTAATTATTTGGTACTTTCCAGCTGTTTTTCACATTGATAATAATAAGAAATGTTTCTTGAGCACCAAATGAGCATATTAGAATGATCTCTGGAAATGCAATCTAAACCTGAAAATAAGACATTTTTATTTGTTTACAGGCACATTGCAAGGCAGATGGCAAAGTACCATGCCATACATGCCCACAACGGCTGGGTGCCCCAATCAGACCTCTGGCTGAAGATGAGCAAGTTCTTTTCTCTTGTTCCTACACACTTTGAAGACCCTGAGAAGGACCAGAGGTGAGCTTTAATTTGAAGGATTGCATTGTGTTTTATGGTGTGATTGTGTTTTGACATGTTTTTTTTTTTTTTAGCAAAGCAGAACATGTAGAGTAACACACCCTTCGAATATAATGTCTGTGGGCGATATTAAAGCTGTCAATAGGGAGGTTCAGATCTCAGCTTCACTTGCATAGACCAACAGAAAGTACTACAGGTTCTTTACATGTTCTTTAGTATGCCGTTTCTCTTCATATTTCTCTGACATTGTGGTTTGAAAATCCTCCCAATGTTACATGACATGACTCCTCTTGGCACAGACAAATGTGTTTGTACAGATACAAGTTGATAACAACATGCATTAAGAACACTGTCTATCTGATTTTTATTTCTAATTTTATTTTCTGCTTTACATAAAATGACAATAATCCATATTAAAATATAATAAAAAAGACTTATTTATTCAACAATATTAACATGAATATCAAAAGAAAGATATTATTATTAATAAAATAACAAAATTAAACAGTCAAGTAGGCCGTTTGGAAATATTTTACCGTTAGATTTAGATATAAAGTCAGTGCCAAATACCCATGAAATATCTATTGTCAAATTTTTGCAGATGCAACTAAATTTGTACATTGTCTGAAGGAAATGTGAGGGGTTATACATGCAAAACTGAGACATGGAGAATGTTGCTGTGTAGGTTGTTAGATTGTTTGTCCAAGTCAAGTTTGAGCAAAAGTAATAGTTCAGGTATGTTTGAATTTAGAGTTGGATTAAAAATTGATTATTTTTATGCATTAGAGGCACTAAAAGTTAGTTTTTTTAAATAGATATTTATCTTATTGAGTGAGGCAGGTTTGTCTACTCTTTGAATCACGCTGGAACACAAAAGCGCGTTTGTGTTTTCTGAATGCATGTATGTGTCGTCTATTTCTAGGCTGAACAGTGAGGTGCCCAGTGCTGCGTGTCTTAGAGACGAGATGATCTGGCTTCAACAGAACCTTTCTAAACTAGGTTCCCCAGTCGTTCTGTGTCACAACGATCTGCTCTGTAAGAACATCATCTACAACCAACAGGAAGGTGAGTCCAACAAACCCCACCAGCTTCCTTCAGCCACAGCGTATGTTTCCCCAACCCCCCCTGCCTAAGGTAGGCCTAAATTGAGTGTTTTCACCTCTGAAATATAGCATGGATGCCCTTTCCTAAAGGGTAGTAAAATGACATTCTCATCCAATTTCAATCAAGGCATCAGGAGAATCCACTGGTTTCCATAAAATGTGTTTTCTGTTCTTGAAATCAAAAGCAAATGTGTGTTTGTGTCTTCATGATGTACAGACTGGCCACTGTCTGCCGCTACCTGGCCCACAGGATGGAGAGTGAATGCGAGTGTGGCATTCCTGTTATGCAGAATGTTTTCAGTTCTTTCCTTTCTGCAAATATATTTATGAAATAAGGAAGTTTTTCTATAAAACACAGTATCAGACTTTCATAAATATGCCTAGCTCAGGCTAAGGCTCGTCAGCTTTATTTATACAATGACAAGAAAATAAGAGGAAGGAAATTTAAAACCTAATTTGAATCAAAGCAAGTCGTTTGATCATTTTGAAGTTTTAGTAATACAGTATTTATTTAAAATATGTAAATTAGACTAGGAAAATAAACAGCGTTATTATTCATTTACTATATTACTCATTAATTTATACATAACATTTATATGTAACAGAATTTAAAATGTATAAATATATACACATTTTAATAAAATATTCTAATTGTATGTATATTTTTACTTTGTCATTATTCTTATTTTAATAATTTATCTTTGGTTTGAGTGGATGTTGACATTTTTGTCATGTTCTCAGGTGCCAAACCTAAAAAAAGTACAATATTTTTATATAATAAATGATATTGATAAATAATATAATGAATAATTAATTGTATATTTGTTATATTAAATACTTAGATATATAGGTATTTGTCATATATTATACTGTAGTTGTTATTTAAAATTTTATATACATGTACACACACACACACTTACATTATTAATTAAAAATCACCCTCTGTTCACTCAAAATCATCAGCATAACAGGAATGACCCACTTTGAAGAGTATGAGCATGAGAAAATGGCTGCTCTGCCACAGCAGTAGTGTGAGAATGTGTAGTTCCTGTCTCTCACTTTTTTTATATATTTTTTTGAAGTGGCAGCAACAGTCAAACTGATTACCAACAGCACGTGTATCGGTTGCCCTAAAGGTATCACTTGCCCCTAAAAACTGTTCTTGAAGCAGTAAATAATTGACAACAAGCAATTAAAGATTGGGTCATGGAAATCTGCTTCGAGAACAGGGTTTGGAGGCAGCTGCGACCTTGGGCACTTAAACTTAGAGAGGAATGAGGTTCTGTTTTCAGAAAAAAAGCCACGCCACTTCCTCCAACTCGCTTTTAACACAGAGACCAAGGGGTGGGAGGAAGTTTTCACAGTAAAATGTTTACGTTTTTGACATTCCTGCTCACTCAGCCCCCTCCCCTTCCCGGCGAGACCTATAGAAGCCAAGTGTTATGCAATAGGCCAGCTTTACGAGATCGTACCTATTTTTGTTTTTCTTGCCTTTCGTTGACACTCAGGGAATCAAATAAGTTTTGAGAGTCCCACAGGCTTGACCTGCACAGGAAGCCACTGTGGCATTTGCATAGAGCCAGTAACTTGGGGCCTCACTGGCTGGCTAATGGACCAATGGGGATGCTGTGTGGTGGGGGTGTGCGTTTATGAGATGAGCCGTGTTTGTTCTTAACGGGGGAGGTGCCCAATGGCCTCTCTGCAGTGAAGCTGTGTGTGTTCTGTGACAGATGTGAGTTTGCCCAAATCTCTTCATCTGCTGCACAGGGCTATAGCCACTGACTGGAGGTGTTCAGTGTGTCCCGCTAGGACGCCACCGGGTCCGGTAACCACCTCACGTGTCTCTTTCTGTAGACCAACACTTCTGTCCAATGTCAATCAAACTTTTTTTTTACACACCATAAGCTCTAGAGCACTGGGAATGCAAGGCAACGTAAAGTCAAACACATTAGGTGCAATAATGTGCATATAACAAACTAGGGAGTGATTTGTCATATATTATACTGTAGTTGTAAACACACACATATATATATATATATATATATATACACACGCATTAATGATGCGTAGAGTGAGAGGAGTAAGGCTTTGTATTCTGAAGTCAACACTGTCTACATCACCTGACCGATCAAGTCATTGCTTGCTACACCACTGCTATACAGACTATGTGCCACTAGATGACGACATTGGCCATTTTCTCTCCTTTTCCTTCTCTGTCCTTCCAGCCCTGTGGTTTTATAGTGCAGCCGTCTCCGTTTTATTAGTCTTTTTTATTTATTTGCATTTTGTAAAGCTGTTGACTCTTCTCTAACCTGACTTGTTTGTCCATTTTTGCCCTATTCACTTTTATTTTACTCTCTTTTTACTTTTACTGTTGTGTTTCCTCCTGTAGAGCAGAGGACTGTTTATGCGAGGCGCTCTTTCTGTCACCAGTAACGAGATTTCCCTGGAAAACTTGCAATAACTTTGCCCACTCACTAATAATTTGTATTCAAGCAGGAATCATTGTTTGTTTTCAGTTGAAATATACATATAAAAAAAGAATAATAATAAAAATACACATTTTCCTTTAAACATAAAATAAAACAAAAAGTTGCAAGTTTTCCACTTTTCTTCTCAGCAGACTCATGTAAATGGTGATCCATCAATTAGATACACTTTTTAAATTGATAACATACGTCATTTTATTTTGAAAAGATGATCATAATTTTTTATATTATTATTATTATAACAATTTTAAACATGTATTGTTTTTAATTGCTTGTTTCTAATTTAAGAGTGTTGAAATATTGCACTTTCCGAAATATAGAATCAATTTTACTTTCCCCTATACTTAAAACCTTATAATACATTATTAAAAAGTATTAAAATCAGGTAAATGTTTTGAGTAACTTTTTTGACATCATTACCAAAATGGTCAGTATCTGAGAATTTTAATTCAGAAACAGTATCTTTCTCAGTTCAAAAGTTAATTGAGCACAACTTTTTGTCCAAACAAGAAAAAAATCATTACCATCACACACAAAATCAAAAACCTCCAATAGGCATGAACAGGTCATTATTAGAGGATGTGAAAAATATTTTACATGAAATGAAACCGTGTGAAAAAAAAGTTTCATTTTTCAAAGTGTCCCTAATTGAAGAATCACCTATATATAACATGCTGTTTTTTCCACATGCATGCTATAAGTGCATGAAATCTGTCCCCATGTCTTGTTCACTTTGTCATTTGTTTATTCTTTCTTGTCTTGCACCAGAACGCAAATCCTTACTCCTTTTCCCATATTTGGTTTGATAAGTCATTTAAATTACAGATAATGCCCATTGTAGTGTTGGTTTGCTAATACAGGCAATAGATTGTTACAGTAAAAAAGAACAAGGGTTATTAAGAAGACAATGCCCATGTGCTTCTCTAAACAAATTGCTATTTGTTTCCCCTCCTGCAGGAAATGTCAAATTCATTGACTACGAATATGCTGGGTACAATTATCAAGCCTTTGACATTGGGAATCACTTCAATGAATTTGCAGGTAATGCGATATGAACACAAATTAAGCTATTGTATAGAAGAGAAAAGACCCCGCTTAACCAGGTGGGTGTGGCCTTCTTGTGATTGACAGGTCTGAATGAGGTGGACTACACCCTGTATCCTGGGCGAGAGCTCCAGTTGCAGTGGCTCCGGGCCTATCTGGAGGCCTACAAGGAGTACAAATCACAGGGCACACAGGTCTCCAACACTGAAGTGGAGGTGCTGTACGTGCAAGTCAACCGATTCGCCTTGGTGAGTCGAAACTGGATTTATCCGCCACGGTCTGGAATCGTGACGCATTTCGACCCATCTGCACCCTGCCAAATTAAACATCAGACTTTAGTTTTTTCAATGTAATTACTTTCTTTAACGACATGCAGCATTTTACAAAGTAAACTGGAACATCGTGAGCAGTTTAACTATTTAGCAGGTAGATCGTCTGCATTAGAGCGATGCTTGAAGTGGAGACAAAGGTATGAATAGTGATTGCAAGCCTTGACATCCTGACCACCTTCGCAGGTGTCTAATGAGAGGACCTCTGGGTGTTTGTGTGTGTGCGCAGGTCATTCTTTGATGATCAAGTAGCACACCTGCCCTTTCTTGACGATGATATTTGCATTGGAGAGGAAAACTAATTTAATATCCAGTTTACTCTCGCAGTTCAGTCTTTTGTGTTCAATAGACGTGTTAATTTTTTAATTTCCAGTCTGTCAGGGGAAGAAGGAAGAAAAAAAAGCCCACAAAGAAAAAACTAAATCATCCTCTCACTCTCGGATATGGAGAACAAAACTGAGGGAGGCACTGTTTTCTCTCCTGTCCCTGAGAGGGACCTTGAGAGACGCTAAAACAAATGCCAGAGGAATGCCACAGTGTGGGGCTTAATGGACGGATGTGCGTGATTTGTTGCCTTTCATTTTGGATTGCTTTTTCTGCGGCTTTAATTGAAAGCCCAGAGAAAACTGAAGAGTCCTGAAAAATATGGGCATATACTCATTAAGTGTCATGTTAACACACTAACTTGCCATAAACAGATTAAGCCATTATTATGGTTTCTAGAAATCGAAGGCAGCTGGCCTATGCTTTTAATAATCAAAATGTTATATTCTGATCATTCATTTATATCTATATTATATCATGTAGATGATATAATATCAAACAAAGGTGATTCTGAAAAATATCGGATACAGTTGTGAAAAAGTTACAAAGAGGAAATCAATAGAAAATTGCCAGAAACCGTTTATACAATAATTTATAAGCTTTGTACACCACCGTTCAAAGGTTTGGCCAGTAAGATGATTTTTTACAATAAAAATTAATACATTTATTCAGCAAGGATGCATAAAATTGATCAAAAGGGACATTAAAGACTTTGTTTATCAAGGAATCCTGAAAAATGGTTTCTACAAAAATATCAAGGAGCTGTTTTCAACATTGATAATAATAAGAAAGAATGATTTCTGAAGGATCATGTGACACTGAAGACTGGAGTAATGATGCTGAAAAAACAGCTTTACCATCACAGGAGTAAATTACGTTATATAATTATTATATTATATATTATATTGAGATAGAATACAGTAATTTTAAATTAAAATAATATTTCACAACAGTATTTTTGATCAAATAAATGCAGCCTTGGTGAGAATAATGGACTTCTTTCAAAAACATTAGAAAATCAAAACCAAACCCAAACGTTTGAGCGGTAGTGCATTTTACAATCATTTATAACTATATAAAAAATGATTTAATTGAGTTTATTTAACTAAAATTTCCAAAAACTCTCTCTAAATATTCCAAGGACTTGTCATTTTAGATAGACGTGGGTGTGTGGCACCCACAGAAGCGCTGTTTATTATGTCACCCTGATGTTTACACACCATCCTCACATGCCTAAGCCAGGAGACATGGAGTTTTATAAAAGATGGTCTGAATATACTCAGAGATTGTGTCTGATGGGGTTCGGGACCCTTGAGTCTGGCAGAGGCAAACATTTATTCTGTGCAGTTTAGCGAAAAACACAGAGGATAGAGACTTTATTATAGGCCAGCAAACCCATGATCTTTTTTCACATGATGGCAGGAGTGATTCAGTCTCTTCAGAGGGCTTTTATATAAATGCCACATTTTATAAGCTTTTACTTCACTGTCAGTGATTCAGAATCAACACCGATAACTTCCATGCAGTTATCTTTTTTCCTTTTTTTAATGGGTCCACTAAAAGGAAGCCGTCTTTGCTTAGAAAGGCGTGGGTCAAATGTTTCCAAGCAACAATACAACTTACAATCTGTCATAGTTAACTCCAGTGTCAGGGTGAATCTCACAGAGCCTGTCAAGAATATCTCTTAGTGCTATTTTACCCTGAAATCAAAATAGAAAATTAAGAACATTTTGTGTTTATTAAATGAAGCCTCTTTTTTTGAATGAAGCATCTACCTCCCCTTCTCCGTTATGCAATGTAAATCACATTTTCATTAATGTAATGAGAACAAATTATATATTTATAGATAATTTGAAATATTAAGGCAGTATTCGTTGCACTAAATTTAAATTTACACTGATTCTAATCAAAATAAATATGCCTGGTTTTGAGGATAGATTTTCCTATGATTTATTTATATATTTATATTTAGAAAAAGCTAAAAATCTTCCAGGTACTGAAAATAGGCTTCTCTCATATACAATTATCTTAGTTAAAATTGATATTAAAATAAATTTTCTTAGCTTAGTTTTTCTTAATTTCTTAGTTAACAATGAAAACACTGATATGAATATGATTATAAATATATATAATATAATTTCTACATTTTTCTCTTCATTTTGGGATACAGTATGATTATTTTTTTTTTTATTTAGTCCTCAATACCCTGATATCTTCCTCTGTGAAAAAGTAAATAAAAAGTTAAAACTGTCCTCATAGTCTTTGGTTTTTGTTCTCCCCAGGCATCTCATTTCTTTTGGGGACTGTGGGCATTAATCCAGGCTCAGTACTCCACTATCGACTTTGACTTCTTGGGGTATGTTTTCACTTTTGAACAACAACAACATCCATAAATCAAGATTTAAACTATGTATGCTCATTCTTGGCCACCAAATGTGCTTTTGCAGATATGCAGTTCTCCGTTTCAGCCAGTACTTCAAGATGAAACCAGAGGTGACATCACTGCTCCTTCCAGAATAATCTCTCAGGTCATGGCTTGTGCTGCTCTAGAGAAGGGCTCCCCCTGGTGGACACAAGAACTAGCTGGAGACCTCTTCAATTTGTAGACTGAACATTGCACTTACTTGTCTGAACACATCATTTTAGATAAGCCCCAAATCATCTCTGAACTCAAAGTTGGTTTAGCGTTGTAGAAAACCAGCATCTAAGCCCTCCTCCTCGCTTTTATGTGGCAGTCAAGAGAAAGGGTCACCCCAGTGCCCTAGTCCATTTTAGTGATATTGTCAATTGAGGAAGCAAACAACTGACATATAGAACCTCCCACAACAACAATTATTGTCAGAAGTCAGAGAGGAGGGCCGCTGGGTCTGTTCTCAGCAACTAACTATCATCCTAAAGGTCATTCCTGCTTGTTTACACAACTTGTAATGGGAGAAATCAGTGTACTGTAAGATGATGTTGGGGTTACAGTATGGATAGTCACTGATTCTTTCTAAATGGGGAACTTCTGGCCTGTCTGTTCCTACAAAGGTTGTTCCTGGCACAGCCGCGGTGAGATGTGTAATTCAGGGACCAATAGAAGCTTTGTTGTTCATTTCTGGCAGACGTTTCCTCCCCCGTCCTCACTGTGAACCACTGTATAGCGCATTCATAACGTTTCTCATTGTTTTCTCAGCGTGGTGCTTGGAGAAAGTAGACGCACAGTAGCCGTGGCTACAACGAGCCGGTAGCTAATCTGAAGCCCACACCAAAGTGCTGATATTTTTTGCTTGTACATTATGCACAGTGTATTTTTCCACATTAGAAATAACATGGCAATATTTACATTTCAAACGGTGGTTTTTGTACTTATTTAAATGGCGCTGTTAAAGAGCTCGCTCTTGAGACCTGTGCTTTTTCTGGGAGGTATCAGTGAGCTTTTTGCAATGGATGTATTTCCTGAAAGCCTTAATGATGGTATCGCCTTCTGGACGCACTAAAGCTTTTGTATTCGTACTCCCCGTCCGCATAGCTAAACGACAACAAACTGACTGCTTTAAGAACAAAATCAGTCCTCACTTCACCTTGCGATGGGCCACTCTTTCTGCTTTAAGACATCTTACTAACCCCAAACTTTTGAACATTTGATTTCATAATATTTTATTCTAGGCTTATCTAGTTTTGTGTTTAGACACCATGGTGACCACTTCAATCAACTGATTTATTTAAATTATAAAACATAAAATATCTTGGAGAAAAAGAATAGCCATCATGAATATAAAAAATGCCACTGAAATCAATTCCAGTTAGTTTCTGATTATGCTCCGTACACATGAGCAATGTAAAGTGTGACCAAGATTTTTTTTCCCCAAGTTTTCTGGAGCAAACCTCAGCTCTGAGACTTGCCTTCGCACCGCCTGGCTACCCTCATTTACCTCAATTTCCTGCGTCAGTTTGCCTATACTACAAACAACCATATATAATTCTGTAAATACTAGAAACTGTGAATTTTCCGGTTGTTTTATTGTATTTTGACATATGCTTCTTTTTCTATGCCAGTTCTTGTTGCACCTTGATCATGTTTTTGAATGGTCAAAGACCACACAGAATGCTACATTTTACTTATCCCTTTTTTTTTTTTTTTTTTTTTTTTTTTTTTAAGTAATACGCCAGAAATATTCATCAAACATCTAGTGGGAAATCTCTCTCTTTTAGCAGTCTATGAAGATTAACTGATTTCTTTGCACTCTTTAACATTTGTATAAAACCGAAAGTGATGGGTGGTTCCAACTTTCAGCAAATGAAGTGCTTCTGGTGAACATAAAATGTAAAGGACTGCCTCATGCAAGCATCTACTGGCGGTTTTTAGTCTAGGTGTATATGTACAACTGTACACTCTAAAAAATGCTGGGTTAAATATAACCCAGCGCTGGGTTAAAAAGGGACAAACCCAGCTATTGGGTTGTTTTGATCCCAACCGCTGGGTCAAAACAACCCAATAGCTGGGTTTGTCCCTTTTTTAACCCAGCGCTGGGTTATATTTAACCCAGCATTTTTTAGAGTGTAAACAAATTGTAAAAGAAAATCTTTGCTTATTATTAAACAATTTCTGTTGTCAATAACTAAACAGAGATATTCTTTTTCTAAGAACTGTTAAGTAGATTTAATAATCCGGGGATGAAATCCTGAAGTGTTGTATTGTAGATTCTGTAACAAATCATTTGAATAGAAATAAAGTAAAATAAAATAAAATGATTCTTGTCTTGATTTCCCATTATGCTTACAAGAAAGAGATTGTGTCGTTAAATTGTTTTTTTTTATATATATATATATATATATATATATATGTTTAACCCTCATGTTGTGGTCAGATCATTTTGACCCGAAGAGGATTTTCTTTTTCCCAAAAATGCTACTTATCGAGGGGATATTGGGAATTTTTTTCCTTTACACTTTTGGGTCAAAATTGCCGGCCTGCAAAAAAAATAGCTTTTAAATTTCCCATTTTCATGAGATATTATTACCAAATATTGTATTTAATCTTTTATCCGCTTATTTTCTTTCAATTAGCATTGGTTTTGTATTTCTTTTTGGAGCTGACTGATCATAGGCCTCATTGATCTGAGCTTATGCACCTAAGTTTTTGAGAGAATTTAGTCAAAATTATCCACAAATAATGTTTTTTCTCTCTCAAAAACCGAGGTGCATAAGCTCAGGCCTTCGACCAATCAGTTCCAAAAAGAAATACAAAACAAGTGCTAATGGAAACAAAATAAGCTGATAAAAGATGAAATCCAATAATTGGTGATAATATAGCATAATGGGAGATTTACAAGCCATTTTTAAAAGGTAGGTCATTTTGGACTGGGAGCACCAAATTAAATAAAGGATTTTCAGCACAGCATAATGGTTAAAACTGTAAAGTTACACTGAGTAATGGATTAAGCCACCATTTTTTTGTTCACAAAAGTAGTTAACGGCAGCAATTTGGGGAAAAAAAGCATGCCTACATTTTATGCTACAGAGTGTTTCAGAAAGATATAATTATAACGGTGCTCCAGTTCCGACTGTAATTGAATTAGTTCCAGTCCCTCCAGCGACTTCCACCAAGAGCTCTGCTTTAATTACCAAATTCAATATCTGTATTCACGCCTCAACTTATTTCCATTTTACAAAGGTCAAATTACAAACACTTGTCTGAAATCATTACAAGTGTGAGAGATGCACAACATATCGACATATTAGGACAATTCTTGTGCCTAATGTACATACAATAATATGAGCAAAAACATATAAACCTCAAAGTTTGTTCCCTACAAACTCTTATACAATTTTTTGTCATTAGAAGCAAGATTCATCGAACAAAAAGCCCATGCACACTGCACGCATCTATTCATGCCTCCGCTTTTTCCACAACAGGTGGTAGACATGGACTAAATGACTGAAGCTTAAAAGCAGCTGAAGGCAGAATGGACCAGACAAAGCTCGCATTCACAACATCTCTTTTAACACACCGCATGAGGGTGTAATAAAGCAATACACAGTTATGGGAGTGTGTCTCATAGAGACAAGGTCATGATAATATAGTTTGAGGAATAAAGATGTAAAAGCCACTGGGTTTGTGAGCCACAAACAATGTGCAGTGGGCCAGGGCATTCATTCATCTTGATTAGATGTGCCAACCTAATTACAAGCGGAGGAAACAGTAATTAGCACATGTCTCACCTCGTTAATCACAAAAGGCTTCTTCAGTCTATTTTTGTCTGATTAATGGCGCTTTAAACATGGGGGGGGGGTATTTATATTTGGGGTAATTGTACTCCGCTTGCTCGATCTAGTTTTATTGCACTATAACCTCATTAGTTTTCATTGTTTAATGGAAGCTCTTGTTGTATATAATGTGTGTATCTTCACAATGAGATGACTAATAGGCCGATCTGATGTTTTGAGGGTATTAATAAAGACTGTTTCTTTTATGGCTAGCAGCATTTGTATATACATGTCATAATATGGCATGTGTGTCAATGCTAAATCACATTATGCATTCATGACTAGTAAAAATGATTAAGATAGGAAAGACACCACAGGCAAATAGAGTAAAACTTCCTAAAATTTTTTGGACCCCATTTACTTTCATTGTATGGAAAAAACTATCAAAGTGCCTTTTATAAGGCTATGGAAGAGCATGACGGTGAGTAAATTAAATTTTCGGGTGAACTATCCCCTTAAAAGAATCTGGTTTGATCCTATCCAGGTGAATTTTAACAATTTTTTTTTAAAAGCACTCCAAAAAGCAAGTTATCCGTGCTGTGTTCCCTTTATAGAGTCATTGATGAAACAGATTCAGATTCAACTAAATAAGCCATTGTACAATGAATGATTGCAGAGGAGAAACATCTGGCAACAGCAGGCCATCATGCTGGAGACTTTCCATTAACTTCTATTGTTTTTATGCTGAACTCATGATATTTTCTATCCCAAAACCTAACCCTCACCGAAAACTTTTTGCGCTATTAAGACATCATTTTTTATGCTAATTAAGTCATTTCCTAATAATATACGTTATGACAAAAAAATATCAATCCTATGTTATTTGTCAATTCCTTTATATTTTATTCATTCTTTTGAAGGTAATTAAAACACTATTCAAGCTTTTATAATTATTTAGTAAAAGACTATACTATATTATGAGGTAAACGCATGCAAACATTTTGAATATCTTGACTATTTACATAATACATTTTATAATTGATATAGTACATCTAACTGTTTTAATAATTTTTGCATTTAATTAAATGGTTTTGAATTGTAAATTGGAGATAATATTTTCAAAATATTGTCTTTCATACAACAAATTATCTGTAACTCAGAATGTGTTTTCCTGCTCTCATGAAAAATATCATTCTATTTTGTTCATAATAATATATAATTAGGCCATATTAAATGGACATGTTTACATTTTCCTCCCTCCATGAATTTAACACATTAAATGAAGAATTAAGTCATTCTTCAAGCAGTGAAACACTGTTGTATTATTACAGCAATGTGTTTAGTCTCTGTAGGTGAAAGTGACAGAGTTTTTTGGAGGTGTTACAGTACGGCTTGTGTGCTTTGCGAGTCAGTGGGACAATAGGTTATCTGTGCCCCACACAAGAGGGTGGAGACGCCATCGCCAGGCAGACTAAAGCTTCTCACCTGATTGGCTGACTTGGGGGGTTTGAATCGTTTACTTTGGACTGACTCTGTTTGTAGGATTTTGTTCTCAATTAAATGTGGAATGCAAATTTTTTGGGGGGTGCCGGTGTGTATATGTGCCCTTTCTTTTTATTCATAAGCAAATATAAAGGTCTCTTTAGAGAGGCTTGTGGAGTGAGTGAGAGTGATATCACCTAATCCGAAGTCTTTTTAACAGTCTTTTTAGCGATCTGATTTAACTCTAGTGTTGTCAAAGTGTTTCTGCTATAGGCACAAATACACAAGAGACACTTTAGCACACTTTAAATCTTTTTTGTTGTTGTTTTTCTTCTCACCTTTCTTCTTCTTTTGGCTTAGAATAAACTTTAAAATGGCAGGAAAGCCTATTTCTGTATTATTGAAGTAGAGTTTATTTGGTTTGAATGTAAAAAAGTGCATTTAACGCAAGGGACATTTAAGCTTTAATGAACCTAGAACAAACACTCTTCGACACCTTTGAAATGTGTCTTTCCAGCCTTCATACGCAGGGAAAACATAAAAAGCTGACCAATCTTAGACGACACAAAGACGAGCTTTGTTCTGAGCATGAAAATCAGGCTGATCTAAAATAATTAATATGTCCTTGAGAAAAACAAAGGGCCCTCACAAAGCAAGAGATGGAGCTATAGAGATAGGAAAGATGGCTGATAATTGTTTTCAATAGGCTATCTGTAAATGAGTTTGTTGTGCTGAAAACACTGTGTTTCCTGTCTTTTATACAGCTCCCAGTTTTTTTCTTTCTTTCTACTCCTTGCCTTTGTTTCTTGTCATCCCAGCTCTCATATTTACTGTCTCCCTGGCTTTCATGGAGCTCCCGCTGCAAATTCTTTTGTGTACCAGGCTTTTAACATCTTTGCCTAGCTATTTATTTCTCCTCTCTGCTTTCACCCCAGACTTTGAATCTGTGCAACAGAAGACGTTTTACCTCAGCTTTTATTGGTAATTAGGCGATGTCCTCCCTCACCCCAGTGACCCTTGTGAGATGCATCAGGATCACAGAGTAAACAAGCACAGAAGGACCTCATGCTGCACGCGCAGAGATGGTTTGTGTTGTGTTTCTTTATTTCTTAATGTCTCAATGTCAAAGCAAATATTCTGAAACAGTCTGCAGTATTTGGTGTAACATTTGCTCAAAATGAAGTGTCGATATCAAATGTTTTTTCATTAAAAATCATTAGCTATATGATTTATATATTTATATAATTGTTATATTTCTTATAATATGTCTATTATATATATAATATAAAACATTTTTTGATTAACGACTATTTGCAAAACTACTAAGTTTTCTTTAATCTTTGTCACATTATAACTTAACATTCTTTCATTTGTTTTGTTTCTTGTTTTCAATGACTTTACTATTAATTATAATAACTATTAATAAATGTGGGAAATTATTA